CATAAGGTATCTTGACTCAGCCTCCTATGACCATAACTCTGGAAGCCAAACATGTCTCCATGTAAATCACGTTGTAGACCTGGATAGAATAGTTCACTTAGGCAATGGGGACCATCAAAGAAATTATGCACCCCACAAGAAAACCATTACCTCTAAGGAGTTTTTGATATATTGGCATATCAAGATATAAGATTCACCAACCTTGAGAGACGAGCTATGAAGATCATGGCTGCAAGGTTGACCATTACCCCTAAGGAGTTTTGGATATGATGACATATCGAGATATAAGATTCACCAACCTTAAGAGACGAGCTATGAAGATCATGACTGTAAGGTTGATTAGATGACCGCGCTCCAAAATGTCCTCAAGATTGGATAAGCATGCGCTCTAAAGTGTCCTCAAGATTGAATAAGCATGCCAAGTGTCGCAATCCAAACTGTGGTTGTGCCCCAAAGTACGTCATTAAGGACGATGACTATTTAAGTGAGGAGAGTGTCACAACCTAACTATGAAGATGGTAGGTTGTGACCCTCACGTTGCGACAAGACAATTGGCGACCCTCAAGTGGCGCTCATCCGGCCACGTGAAGGCCTAAACGAGTGCTATGATACGACCAAGGATTATGATGCATCATCTAACACACCACACAGATGTGAGCATTGAAGACAAGTCGAGGCATAAACAACATAGTGATATCGAATAGACAAGAGTTGCAAAGATAGGCTTGTTGAAGGGTCGGGTAGGGTCCCGAGCCTTAACCTTGAAAGTCAAAATTTTGGAAGAAATTTGGGTATGTTGTTCTGGAGTTAAGTCTATCCATATGAAATATGAATGCTCGCCAAAATTGGTATCAATCAGACACTAGAGGGACGCTCCATGACACCGTATGACCGTTCGCAAAAATCATGTCTATGCGTGGAGTATTGAAAATGGCTCAAAACATATATAGGGGGATGCATGGTGTCAGCTCTCCACAACCCCTAGGAAGTGAGATACCTTGTGGCACATACGTGTGTCATAGCGAGGGCAAGCATGCCGATACGAGTGTCTCGAGCGACTTCCTTTGAAACAGGTTTTTCAAGGACAGTACCACGCGGCAATGGTATGCGGATATTGCACCCCAACCCGCGTGTTGAGGGTTGATATATGCACCTGATATATCACGAGACTTGAGATGGCGTCAAGACATATGGGCCATGTCGATTGGAAACCAAGATGACAAAATGAGATGTGATGTTGCATTGAGATACCTTGGCCCCGAGTAGAAGCTAGGTTGAGCCGAATAAATATGCGATGTTGCAGACGATTGAATATGCACGCGTAGGCGACGTGTGTGGTCGAACAAGTTTGGATTCCGCACAAGCGATATTAGGTTGGCAAAGAAAAATCTCGTCTAAGGTCTAATGGAGCAACAAAGTCGGGTCGAAAAATATATATAGGGCTTGATTCTCCTTAAGGCTGATCATGAACATGTCAAGATGACGATGCCGCAAGGTTGAAAAAGTAGGACCGTGACAAAGTGAAGCATAGTTAAGCATGTGAACAAAGTCGAGTTGGGATCTTTAAAGACTAAGTTGAAGATTATAGACTTGGAGGAACATGATAGGTGCATAAGATTGCCCAAATAAAACAAAATTGTATGGGCTTTAGAGGAGAGAACGAACCATTATGGTATACTAGTGAACATTATAAAGTCGAGGACAACATTTAAAACCCACTCTACCGATAGGAACCTACCATTGTCCAGGTCCAATTTCATACGCACAATTGTGTAAGAAAGAGAATGTGGGTGGTGGGATTCGAACCCCAGGTCTCCTGGCCTAACGGACTTCTCCCTACTAAACTACAACCACTAAACTAACCCATTTGAGTCATTGGGAGTAATCCATTTTCTCATTGTTGGGTCACCATCACTTAGCTTTTGTAACCATTTGTAGTCTCATCACATCACCATATGAGTTATATTCCACTGGAAATGGCATGGAAGAGTTGACGTTTCTTGAACTGTCATGACATCGCCTCTTTCTTTTTAAGTGCTTAATGCCCAACTATTTTCTGATTTGGTTCAATACTTCCATGATTTCTCTTTTGTGCTTTATTTTGTATAAGATATATCTTTTTTAGTTTATAGAGATACAAGAGCGAGTTTCCCAGTGTTTTAGTTTATTATTTTTAAAATTTACTAATTTACTAGTTTGCTTTTCTATACCATTTATTTCATACCTACCTTTTGACTTATGACTTAGTTCGTGCTAATTCACAACATTTGGTATTAGAATCACATGACAAGGTTTGATTACGAGAGAAAGAAACTGCATAAAGAATATTAGTGTTTCATAGAAACTTGGATCCTTGTCTGAATTGTAAAGCATAAGCTAAAAAATTCAAAAGCTTATGAATTATCTATTCCAAGCCATTGATGGAACCATTATGAAACAATGTTTTCTTAAAGAGCACTGCCAAATAAATTTGGAACTCTACGAAGGAGAAGTTCTAGGGTTCTACCAAAGTAAAAAAATCACAACTTCAAGCTCTTACTAAAGAGTTTGAGGTCTTACAATGAAAGAGGGTGAGAGTGTTGATGCATATTTCACTCCAATACTCATCATCACAAATAAGATGAAAATTCATGGCGAATCATGAAACAATAGGTGATCATTGAAAAAATATTGAGATCAATGGCCTCAAGTTTTGATTGTGTTGTAGGTTTGATTGATGAGTCTATTAACTTAAACACTTAAAAATCGATGAGTTGCAAAGCAATTTACTAGTACATGAGCAAAGGTTGAATGGATGTGGCGATGAAGAACAAGTATTAAAGATGACATATGATAATAGAATCGGTGGAAGATGAGGTGATCGAGCTCGTGAAGTTTTTTGAGGAAGAGAAAGAGAAAGAAAAACTCAATTGTAGCTTTGTTAAATGGTTGTCTACCTCTAAGTGTTATCAGTTAGGACAGTTAGGTATGAGTGTACTATGTGAGAAAACAAAGTGAATTATGTTGAGCTTGAGGAGAAAAAAGAAAAAAGAAAGGTGGCTGATGGCATATATGGAGCCTAATCAATCAAGGGAAGAAGATGTTTGGTTCCTTGACTCAGGTTCCTTGACTCACGGTGTAGCAATCATATGTGTGCAAACAAGAAATGGTTTTAGATCTTGATGAAGAATTCCGATAATTTCTGAATCTTGAAAATAATTTTAAGATGGTTGTGTTGGGGAGGATAACATTAGCTTGCAAATTGCTAGAATCGCTCAAATAATCATTGATGTTTTCTACGTACTTATGTTGAAAGTAACCTATTAAGTATACAATTACAAGAAAGAAGTGTATCTATTTTGATACAACATGGAGAAGGCATAATTTATCATCTCAAAAAGGGGCTTAATATGTAAACAACAATTTCTGCAAACAGGATGTTCATATTACTTGCAAAAATCATGTCAAAAGCCCCACCTGCTTCCAAATAATTCTAGAAGATGACACTCATATTTGGCACTACATATATGGATGGGCATCTTAGGTTTAAAGGGTTCGAGAACATTGCAACACAAGCCAATGGTGAGAGGGTTACTCAATTGAAGACATCATCCAAACTATGCATTAATTGAATGCTGAGAAAGCAACATACGAATGCATTTTGAAAGAGAAGTGTATAAAGGCTGCCGTTAGTACATGTGACATCTATCGACCCATCAAATCTCTTTCCAATAGTAAAAAAATATATTTTATAAGTTTTATTGATGATTACCGTCGTAAGATAAGGTGTGATATATTTTCTTGCTGAAAAATCTAAAACCTTTATTATTTCAAGAATTATAAAAAAAAGGTTGTTGAGATACTTGAAAGTTACCGTGAATTTGAGAGTCTTTTATCGAAAAAAAGGGTAATGGAGAGTTGACGGCAAAAACTAATAGTGATTATGCAATAGATATAGATGACCGAAAAAACACTTCTAGTTATGTATTTTTACTCAACGAAGAAGTTGTGTTTTGATCCCAATAAAACAACCTGAAGTTACTTTATTCTCTAGTGAAGCAAAGTTTGTGCAGCCTCTTGTGCCGGATGAGGAGAGTATCGGAAAAACTTGGTCATTTTTAAAACAATTGTATGTGATGACAGCTTTACCATCAAGCTATCCAAGAATCCAATCATGCATGGAAGTAGCAAACACTTTGATATAAGGTTTCATTTTTTTTTTTAAGTGATTTTGCTAGAGGAGTCATTGAGCTGAAGTATTAAGTCTGACAAGAACAAGTTGCATATATTATGACACGATTCAACGTGTATGAGTCAATGGATATATGTATTTATGCCTTCCGAGAGAAATGGTTGGAATTGTTAGACTAGAGTTTTTTTTTATCTACATTGTTAGATTAGAGCATTTGTTAAATGTTAGTGGGTGGGTAAGTTTATTATTTTTAAGTTTACTAACTTTATCTCCTTAAAACACCTACAAAAGCCATTAAAGTTCATCAAGATTTTTTGTTTTGAGTTAGTTTGTGTTGGTTCCTAACGAACTAATGTCTTTTAATTCAAAAACAAAGCCACCAGAATTTATATTAAAAGTAGATAATGTTTGAAATCAATCCATTCATAATGTCAAATGGGTCTAAATATCGAGATTTCAAATTTATCAAAATATCAATAAAATGTCAGATAGATAGACAGATAGATGATAAGATATAAAAATAAAAACAATAAATAAACCTTTTACTTTTTATATACAAATTAAATACCTATTATTTATATTATATTGTTTGCTAAATTTAAGTTTCATAGATTTTTGTGAAGCTTTTTAATACTTTGATTTTTTTTTTCATTTTAATAATTGCAATATAGCATACCTAACTATGACTCTTTGCATTTTGTAGGGTCATCCATTCCCAGTGGTCGCACTCCATTATCCGACAAAATTCAAATTATTATTCTTTAATTTATTCTATCTTATATTTATCACAATTGCATATCCCAAAAACTTAGATTTGTTGGTAGAAGTAGGATCGAAATTACATATTTACCCTAAAAATGAAGCTACGTCATGAAACAAAAATGAAGAGAAAACACAGATGAAAGATACAGGTTAAAGAATGTGGGTAGACGAAGCGGCTGCGCTAATGGGTATGTCATGAATGGGCGCTATGGTGGTGGTACCCTTCCCTATAGACTATATGGAGGGTGGGGTGGGATTAGTGCTGTATGGGTCACCCACCACCAAACTCATTGAGACCTTCCTCCACTTCAATGGAACAATTAATGGAATGTAATTAGAAGTTCTCTTTATGGAACTCGAACTTAGTGGATGTTTTGCGAGAGAAATCGGAAGCCAATTGGCTGAGCTCCTTGGTGAGTGCGGGCGCCCCACAATAGAACACCCCAACGCGCGTGTCCGGATGGTGAAGAGTGATCTTTTTGAAGACTTGACGCCAATTAGGCTTCGCAAAATGGGACTTCACTCGAGTCCCAGACACCACATCCACCCCACTCTTAGCGTGCTGCAACGACTGAAGCATTGCTATCAGCGCGGATCGAGCGTCCCCTTCTTCGTACACGCTCGTGCAGTAGTTGTGCAGCTCGATCACTCCCCTCTCGTCCATTTCCGCTACCTCGTTCATTATCCCTTTGAACCATTCGAATGACCCTTGCTCTCGCGTCACCCAATAAAAGTATGCCTTTCGGGTTCGGAAGCCTTTTCCATGCTTGCTACCCCCTCGGCTGCTATGCCCCCCTTGCCCATTCTCCATCGCGTTGGCGTTGGCTTCTTTCTCCTCCATGTTATCGATTATGTCCTTCACTATACTCACCATCGGCGTCGCCCCGATTCCTAGCCCCACTAGCAAAACAACGTCGTATTTCTTGTAGTCTTGTGCTGGTGCCCCATATGGACCGTCGATCAATATTTTTGGGAACCTACACATCCAATTATTAACTTATAAGTTAAATTAGAAGAATACCCCTCACGTGATTCTATCATACCATCTATGAAAATGATTCAATGTTCTTTTCAAACGTGTGTTTTGGAGGAATTATATGGTACCAATAACTCACCCACCAGATGATGTGATGGATTGTAACCCAATAACATAAAAAACAAATGGGATTACACTAACTTTGGGCTAGATATCTTACTTGGGATTCTGAGCTCCCCCTTGCATGAACTCAGCTCTGAGAAGTCCACTCTTTCCAGCTTGAGGAGGCTGACAAACCTCTGAGAAAACAGTCTTGAGCTGCCTTGTCCAATCACCCAGTGTCCGAATATGAACACTCAAATAGTCATCCTCTGGAGCAGAGGTAATTGAAAATGGATGCCTGTGATCGAAACATTCAAAACCCATTAAAATTATCTACTTTCTCCCTATTAGTTTTGAAGAACATAGATAGATATAATATTAAGCTTACCACTCGAAGGGAGATACGTCTCGGCAGTTCACAAACATGTACTGCCCACTCTTGTATTTGAACCCATGTGGCTTTGACATGTGCAGTGCCAGAACGTTTCCAGGATAAACAGCCACCTTCATTAATCAACCCCAAGAAAGAGCTCCCGTTACTTAAATCTTACACTACGCACCATAATATAGGCTGCACCAGCATTTATTGAACTAATTACTTACCTTAAGGATTTTCACTGGTTTGATACCCGATCTGAATGCTCTTATCAACCTTTCACACCCGTAAAGGACGACTGGAACGGCCAAATACATCCATGTCTGTAAATTTTAGCAAACAGAGTCGAAAGTTCAGATACGTTTTACAAACTAAGACCTACACTGGTACGAACCACAGACCCCACAATAGTATGATATTGTCCACTTTGATGTGGGCAATAGCTACTAACGTGGGACTGCCTCCCAACAATCCTCAACATACACTTGATCATTTATTTAGATACGTATCAGCACTTACCGTTTGCTTGTACCATTCCTTGGTGAGGTAGAGGAAGATGCCGTGGACGACGAGGAGGGCGTAGACGATGACGAAGAGGTGGTGGGAGTACCAAAAGGCGTTGAAACCAGTGAGCTTTTTGAGGGATTCAGGTACATTGAGCTTGTTTCGTCTAAACCATGGAGTGGCCAATGTGAAAGCAATGGCCATTAGTATTACCATTATAATCCCTGTAATTCCCTCCACTCCCTTCAAAAACCACCAATAGTTATCCGGCTGCTCCTTTCCAAAAAAGGGCTCCATTGGCTTGTATTGTTCATCCGTTGCGTCGAGAAGCCGGGGGAAATCGCACGTTAAATGGGCGAGTGCGTGCAACCCCACTCCCACTGAAATTCCCACCGCTATAACCTGAAGGGACAATCAAGCAACCCCACATTAAATAATTTGAATTATTGTAGCTAAAAATATGTGTTTGAGAATTTGTTTTTACCTTGTGGAAATTGAGATTGTCGTCGAAGGGGACGATGACGCCTAATTTGGTTTTGTTGCGAAGCCAAGTGATGGTGTTACGGCAAACAGGGAGCAAAATGAGCGCCATGTTGAACTTGAGAGTTTCGGCTCCTCCTTTGGCTATACAAACGCAGTAACCCATGACCTTGAACACGGCACGGTGGCGGTATTGGATGAATTTGTAAGCGAAGAGACCGGCGCAGATGCCGAGCCAGAGCATGATCACCCAAATCCTCTGCCAATTGTCCTCCACGAAGTACTGGAATTTGTCATATGTCCTTATGATTGGGTTGCTTTCGTTTGTCGGCTTCAGTTTTTGGCTCAGTAACTGACTTAGAACTCGGCTGTCGCTCACCCTCACCGATTGATTCGGAGCTTGTAATAACAGAGTTTCCAAATTGTGAATCTACAACAGCGACAGATGTAGAGTATCAGAAAACAGAGTTGACGTGTCAAGATTCTTTTTCTTTCTTTAATTTCACTCACCATGATGTACCCTGCATTTCCAGGGTCCAATTCTTCCATGATCAAGGCTGCGTACTCTTTCGCTTGTTTTTGAATTGTGGACAGTTTGTTCGCAGAAGCACTCATGCTAATAATCTATAAACAGGGTAGATTTAAACAGGGTTTAATGAATGGAAAAATCTATATATTTATGGAAATTTTGGTAGGGTTATTGGGTACCTCTTCGACTTCTTCTTCTGTGATTCTTCCATCTGCGTCCGAATCCACCCTGCAGTTTCAAATTGAATTCATGATTTTAGTGTTGGTTCGATCTGGAAAAGAAGACCAAGTAAAAATTGCTTGGGAGGTTGGTTACATGTCAAAGAATGTTTGAAGCCTGGAATCGAAGCTGTCATCGGAGATCTGATCCCAGAACTCTCTGAGCTGAGATTTGTTGATAGCATCATCGGTAATGTTGTGCCTCCGAGCAAGTGCACGGAAAAGCTCACCGGCGAATTCTTTCGAATCTTTGTTCATTCCTACAAAGAACATAGAATAAAATAAGAAACAGAGTAATTCTCCAGGTCTGTTTGGGGAATGGGTAGAGAATAAAATGATAGACTCACCAATACACTCCCCAAACAAGGAGGAGGGGAGGAGTCCATTGGTGGAGGCGGTGAGTTCATCGAACTTCTTCTCAACTGGAGCCCAACTGGGGGAGGTTTTGCCACCGCCAGTCTTGGCAGCAATGAACTTGAGCCCCTTGAGAGCGTGGGTGGCTGCCGACTTGGTCCGGTCCAACCGGCGAGTGGAGGTCCGGCGGTTGAGGGAGGTGAAGCGTTTGAGCTCCTGAGAGACCTGTTTAAAACGGGAAGAAGTGGAGCGAAGAACAGAGGCCCGGAAGGAGGAAGATTGCTTCTCGAGAGTTCTTTTGGCGAGGAGGGAAAGTTCTGGGTCATCGAGAGTGTTGGGATCGTGGTCGGCGCCGGCAGTGTGAACGCTATGGACGGCGACAGAATCATCGCGTATATCAAGGGTAATTTCAACATAGGTGTCATCGGCATCGGCAGCCTTGGGGGAGGAAGAAGAAGAAGAAGAAGAGAGGTCAAATTTGGCATTCTTCCTTGGCTTAGAGGTGGAAGAAATTGGGCCGCTGAAGGGTCTCCGGTCACCCCTTCTGACGCTGCCGACGCTCTCCACATCGGAATTGTTCTCAGAATAAGGTTCGTGAGGTCGCATCTTGGTGTCGAACAGAGAAATTGGGAATGTGGGAGTTGAAGAGGAGATGCAGATGAAATGGAGATTTATACATATACGCGCACACACACACAAGTGAGAATGAAGGAGATTGAGCAGCCAGGGTAAGACTTGAGAATCGCAGCTGGAAAGGGCTCGGAAACTGTATGGAACCCGACCGTCTTATTTTTATTTTGGATATTCACATTTCTCCCCTTTATTGTTAGAATATACCACCGGAAAATCATTATTGACTTCAACCTTTATTATATATTTTATATGATCTAATCTCAATTTTGGAGTTATTTATTCTTTCTGGTCAAATTACCCATTTGCCCTTCCATTTTTAATTTAGTTTTTGTACTTGAATTAGATTTGTATAATGTATTTATTCTGTCGAAATATATGTAAATAGGATGTTCAAAACTTATTAATTAATGTGCCAGAGTCATCAAACATTCCATTTCAATCTTTTTTTCTTCCTTTGGGAAAAAGCAGAATTCAAATTCATTTACTCTTCCCATCCATAAATGCCAACCTACCTAGGTTAACAAACAGAAACATCTATATGAACCCGGGACACCAAAAAAATGGATACAAATCTCTTTCGCTACCAAAAACCTTTAGTCGGTCTCTAGTAACGCAACGATCTGTTTTTAGAGAGACTCAACTTATTAACCATCACTTATTGACATAAAATATTTTGGAAAGCAATCTTGATAAAATAGTTGTAAAACAGGACTCTCAAATGACACACTTACCATGACAACCTAAGACTTTTATACAACTTTCAAGGTGCATATAAAATCTGGAAAAAAAAATATTCAATGCAATAATATGTGAGTCTTTTCTTAAGGTTTAACTATTCATAGATCATCTTTCTCCTACCGTTATTTCTCTAAGTTTGGTCTCTTCTGAAGTTTAGCTCTTCTTAACTCATCTTTCTCATAAAGTTTGTTCTCGGAGTTTAACTCTTATGAGCTCATCTAAGTTAGATTCTTCTACTAGTCTCATTCATCATCATCATCATAGACCTATGTCTCATACAACCTATAGTTCTTATTATACCGTTGTGCACACAATTCTCATATTCTTTAGTATGACTTAGTTAGTATCACTCTAGTAGGTCTCATAATGTTAACGTCATAAAGGAGGTAGACTCAATCTAGCCAACTTTCATCTACTTGTGTCGTTTCTTACTCTCATTCGAACAAGATCACGATTAGAGAGCAGTTGGAGATTCCCTAATTACACCCACAAGGCACTCATAAATATCTCTTAAAGTTCTCATATCTTTCATGCCTCTCAAGGCTCAACCCTAGTTCTACCAACTCTCAAAATACTACTGTCAACCCTTATCGCTGGTTGCAAGTTTACTAAAAGAAAATTAATTGAAAAAATTCTTCATGGTCCCCACGGAGCATATATAAAATATAGTCAATTTCGACGACGGTAATGTCAAGTTCAAAATTAGAAATATTCACTTGTAAACGCTTTCATAACAGTAAAAAGTTGGCAAAATTTATCTCAAATGAAAAGAAAACTTCAATGAGATAGCAAAATTGAAAAACAAGAATTTGGAAGAAATGCATACGTTCTAATCTAACTTAAGAGCTACAACTTAAATGCAAAATACACTTACCCTGACTTTATTTCCATAACTTCCATAGGCGACACTATCATCCACACACGAGTGTCTTAGCTTTACTCGGAAAAAAATAGAAAACAAAATTAGAATACTAAAAAAAAAAAGGAGACTCGTCAAAATATGTAATCACTTACCATCAAGGTTCATGATATGGTATTTCTCTCGCACGTGCACATAAACCCACCAATCGAGCTCGTATATGTACCTCCTGGTAGAAGGGAGTAGTGCATAAAGTGATGCATGATCTTCCATAATTTGAAATCATGTACATAATTCATATTTGAAATGTTTGTATACGTTCGCGCTCCTCATTCCGTACACCAAAACAGAAGAGAAAGGTTGAATTGAAAAGAGAGAGAAAAGAGCAGGGGCATTTTTTGGTCAACAAAGCCGGTCCGTGTTGAAACCGAGGCTTGAACGCGCGTGTCAAAAAATCACCTTATAATTAATAATTCTAATATATTTCATTTATTAATAATAATAAGAAGAAGGAAAAGAAAACAACAGAGGGTAGGCAGCCACCCATGTTTTACTTTTTGGCGGTTACAATAAGGACACGGCGTCCGGGCATCATCGGACGCACCCACCATACATACACATCTATATATATATATATATATATATATAATGTCTGTCCACATCAATCCCTTTAAATTCCAATACCAAGGGTAGAAGTGGAACGCTATTATTTTATGTTAGATTGAATACTCCATTTTCTCGTGCGCAAAAATAAATAATAAAATGAAATAACACCATATGATTAAATCCTAGTTTTGGTGCAAGTTGATGGACTAATGATGGAAGTAGGTGTTGCTTCCATTATCCCCATCTCCTTTCATATTTACACCCTTTTCTTCTTCGGTTACTAATAATAATTACTTCCATTTCTAATTATTATTTCTTGTTATTTATTTATTTCTTTAATTCTATATCTCAACCACTATATTTATTATAATTTCTATATTAATAAAAATAAAAATACTCTTTAAGTTTTATAGTAATATATTTTTTTGATTAAGAGGGCTACGACCACGCCCATGATGAGGATGGACATTATGGGGCGGATGGAGGGTGAGGTGGCGGCGGCGTGGATCGACCAACTGTGAACAGGGAGCTGGGACGGTGGATCAGAAGACACAAAACTCGTGACGACATAGACGATTTTTTTTTTTAATTTTTAATCCAATTTTCTATGTCAACAACAGAAAAATAATTTAAGAATTACAAATATGCCACATATTCACTTTAAACTACCACGTCACGTTTCTGTTTTTCTTTTAAAAAATCACCAAATTAACGTATAACTTTCATGACTATGTACAAACGTTTTCAACCCCCACCGTTGGATTCTAAAATTAAGCCACCAAAATTTTAAACACTAAAATGCTTAATTTCTTTTTTTTCCTACCAAAAATAAACTTTTAATTTTTAGATTTTTAAATTTGAAGACAATGATAATCCAGCATCGTTAATCCCATTTTTTAATAATAATTAAAAAATATATAACAATTGCCGTCGCGTCGGAGAAGAAGTTGCAGGGTTACATACCGTCGCCGAAGCAGTTAGATCTGAATTTGTTTTTTCAGTTATAAGAAGATGGAAAGTGGGGGCTGTCACCAGCGACGGCGGGCGAAGGCAGCGGCGGTTTTGCCGGCTGAGGGTTCAAGCAGAACGAGGCGGTTGAACGATTTTTTTTTATTATTATTTATATTAATATTACATTTTAATAATTGTTATAAAATTATTGCACAAACTGGAATCTTACGACTAACAATATAATTTTTTTTTTTTTTTTTTTTTTTGGT